TGACGGTGTAAGTGAGCCAGCTTGAATGCTGAGCTTTACTGAAGTTGGTGCATGTGGTGAAATCTTTTGCCTCATCTTCTCCTTGACGTTGAGATACTTTTTTGCTCTTTGGAAGAGTCAGGTCTGCATAGGCCTTTGGATATTTGCATTTTATTTTCAGGGAATCTTTGCTGCTGACTTGGGTGAAAGCATCAGTTTTCATATCCCTCAGTTCATTTTCTTAGAGGAAAGAAAGGCAGCCAGACAACAAACTGGTAACCAGTTGGATTATTGGGCTGACTTTGCAGGTTGATAAATAGGTGGCCCAGGTGGTGAAATGAAGTGAAGTTGTGTTTAATTAGATATTGGACTGGCTTTGCAAATGTATTAAACACATCAAGGTGAGGGAGACATGGGAGTCCCCCCTTTTAAATCTCATGTTCTAAAATGAAGAAGGTCAGTGTGAAAAATTCTGTTTCTCAAAATACTTGTGACACCAAATGTGGATGTTTTTCCCCCTCACACCAATGAATTATCCAACTCTCCAGGTAATAACTGGGTATCCTGCAATTCAATTCTGACGCTACCAGGGATTATCGCATGCTCTGCAAGTTTAGGGCTCAGTGCCACAAAACTGCCCCCACTTCAGACACCAGTCACAAGTCCCATGTTGTTACCTGTACTTTTGACCAATTGGCTGTATATTGGGGAGTTGCTACAACCCCTCTTCAATTCGATAGTTTGCTACAATGGTTCACGGAACTCAGAAACATTTACTTATATTTGCTGGTCTGTTGTAAAGGATATTACCAAGGATACAAAATGTTTAGCCAGGTGAAGAAGTACATTTGATGAGGTCCAGAAGGGTCTTAAGCACAGGAGCCTCTGTCCTTGTGGAGTCGGAGTGTGCCACCTTCTTGGCACATGGTTGTGTTCAGCAACCTGGAAGTTCTCTGAACCCTGTCATACAGGGTTTTATGGAAGCCTCATTATGTAGGCATGATTCATTAAATCAATGTCCACCCTTCCCTCCCCAGAGATTTTGCGGGTGGACTGAAAGTTCCAACCTTCTAGTCTTACCTTGGTCTTTGTGGTAGTCAGCTGTATCCTGAAGCTGTTTAGGGAGCCTCAGCCAGTCATTAGCGTACAAAAAGACACTTCTCATTTCAGAGCAGGAGTGTTCAATCTTTTGGCTTCTCTGGGCCACACGGGAAGAAGAATTGTCTTGGGCCACACATAAAATATGCTAATGATAGTTGATGAGCTAAAAAAAAATTGCTAAAAAAAATTCATAAAGTTTATGAATTTGTGTTGGGTTGCATTTAGAGCCATCCTGGGCTGCATGCAGCCCTTGGGCCATGAGTTGGACAAGCTGGCTATAGAGCTTTCAATGGTCTTGGAAGCTCTTCTGAAGGGAACTAGGGAGTTCCCTTCAAAATATTATAAGACCAAATATTATAATTCAAAATATTATATATTATAATTCAAAATATTATATATTATTATAATATAAGACCAAATATTATAACAAAAGATACCCTTTTCACCCTATCACTTAGGAAATTATGAGGGTTTTAGGAGCTCTGTATAAGGAATACAAGGTGGGGTGGGGAGGAACAAATATTTCTTACATCACAGCCTAACAGCCAACCAACATTTTAAGTCATCGAGGTAACTTAGTAAACAAACCAGTATCCTTGATTTTATTTTTAACTTTGATGTATGTTATATGTAGAAAAATACACATCACAAATGTAGAGCTTGATGAATTTCAAATGGACACCCACCTAACCATCAGATAAACGGAGGATTCTCAGCCCTTCAGAAGCCCCCTCATGTTCTGTTGTCCAGCCACTACCTCTACAATCCCCACCCCTCAATCTTTACTGTTTCTGCACTCTGTATAAATGAACTCATACAGTATAAACTATTTTATGTTTGCTTTCTTTTGCTCAGATTATGTCTGTGAAATTCATCTATATTGTTGCATATAATTAATCATTCATCCTCGTTGCTGTATAGTATTCCATTGTGTTCATATGCCACAATTTATTGATCCACCCATTCTACCATAGATAGGCATTTAGATAATTTCCAGTTTTCAGCTACTATGATTAGTGCTTCTGGAAACATTCTAGTATATGATATACACATTGCCATTGAGTGGTGAACATAGGTACACGTTACAGTTGACTATTGTCCTAGGCTGTTAGGTGTTGCTCTAATACAACCCTTGGGACTGGAGAGCTTTTAAAGAAAAGAGGTTTGTGTTTTTTTAGCTCACAGTTCTGAAGGCTGTGAAGTTCAAGACTGGGTGCCTACATCTGCTCAGCTTCTGGTGAGGGTCTCATGCTGCGTCAAGACATGGTGAGGAAGTGGAAGAGAAACAGGCATGTGTGGAGAGAGACCAAACATGAGAAGGGACTTGGCTTTATAACAACCTGCTCTCAAGGAAGCGTCTCCATTCTCAAGATATGGAGACCTCAGTCCCTTTCTTGATACTGCATTAATTCTATTCATGAGGGATCTGCCCCCATGACCCAAACACCTCCCAACTGCCATCAGCTAAATTTCAATAAAAATTTTGGCCAGGAAATCCATATCCAAACCATATACTTAGAAGTGGGATTTTGGGATCATAGGGGTACACATGTTTAGCAATGTGAGATACTGCTAGTTTTCCTAAGTGGTTGTATCACTATATAACTGTACCAGCAGTGCATGAAAGCTTGCCTCTCTCACATCCTCACCGTGGTTGGTATTTATCTTTTTCACCTTAACCATTCTGGTGGGTGTGTAGTGGAATTAGTTTGTAGTTTTAATCCCATCCTTTATTTTTTATTCTGAAGGACTTGGTTATCTGCTTTGTACTTTTAATGGACTCTAATATCTACTGTTTTTAGATGGTGACCTTAGAAAGGCATTATTATTAACTTTTCAGAAAGGCTGATGTGTTCCAACAGATTCCATCATCTCTCAGAGGTCCTGTAAGAAGCTGGTAAATTAAGTGTCTCATACTGAATTATATTCTGCTCTCACCATATATTTGGTTTGTTGCAATGGGATCAGCAGAAATAAGAAACCAAGTCCGAGTCAGGCAAGCTCAATTTGAGCTAGCAGAATTTATTAGTACTAAACCAGGACATTTATAGTTCTATACAGGGCAGTCAATAGGTGAAAGATGGCTTAGTCTGAAGCTTGTTCATGTTATGATCCTATGACATCAAACTTGATTTTTAGGTTTTGAGTGGGAAATTCCCATGTTGCAATCCATCATTTCCAGGATAGTGAAGAAGAGTGAAGGTGAAGTAGTTTAGAACCACTTAACAACTGAAAACACAGCCGTTGTGTTTCATCCTTACCGCGAAGTTCAGGTTTTTCTGTTTGTCAAGGCAATTTCAGGATCTATAGAATTTACTACGAAAATCTTGAAGGAAAATTCAAGCTTGTCTAGGAAATAGGGCTGGCATGGGAAGCATTCTGAAGAGATCCAGGTCTCCCTGTGTGATGGCGAAATGTGATTTATCCTCGAGCTGTGTCCCTGAGACAGTTCACACCCGACACAGGAAGGTGATTAATGAAGATAAATTTGGTATCATTTTTTATGCTGCTACTTTGCCATTTCTGCTCTTCATCTAGCAGTGATCCTTGGTTTCTCAGGTGCCCAGTGAAGGAAGTAGGTGGGAGTGGGATCCTGAGGGGGCTGGTGAGGAGATGTGACCACTACATTGCCTGTCAGTTGGAAGCCATAGGAATAGATTGGCGCTCTAGTCTGCACATGACAGGAATCTTCCTTAGCATAGGGACCCTTTTGTCAGGACATAAAGCCATGATGGCCTTGGCAGAAGACCATCTTTAGTACGATAATGGGATGCTGTTTCCTAGGGCTGCGGTGGCTGGTTTCTCATAAACTGTCTCTGTGAATTGTATATGGAGGTTGTTGGTATCCCTTTGAGGAAGAGAATAGTCTCAGGAGGCTGGCAGGATTCTTAGGGGCCCCATATTGACCATACCCAGCATGGTGTTGGGTGAAAGTTTGTTGATTGAAATGTGGTTTTTGGGTATGATTTTCATAACATGCTATTGCTGGTATTGCAAATTTGAGTTGGGCAGAAGGGGATGAGTAAGGTCTGAGGGAGAGGAAGAGTGATATCTGTGTGAAAAACATACCAAATGCATTTTTGTAGCCAAAAGGAAGGGAATACATCTTTTTTTTGAGCACTTACAAGGGTCTGGGCTGTGCCAAACCTTTGGACTTTCATGTTAAATTATCTCATTCAATCTTATTTGAGTTTTCATTGTATGTATATGAAACTGAGGTTCACAGGGCTTAATCTGCTAGACCAGAGTTACCTGAGAGTCAAGAGGAAATACACCATGGAAAGACACTGCATCAGCTAACCTTCATTAAAGCCCTTCATTTAAGAAATACGGTTGACTTTGAGTGATTCCCCAAATAGATGTCTGTAAACAAGATTGGTTTTGTTACATAGGCTTTTACATTTTAGAAGACAGGCCCTGGGGCTCACCACCTGCTGTGGATTTTTTTTTCTTTTTTTTTTTTTCCCACCCTCTCAACCCAGCTTGCTGTGGATTTCTGACTTACAGTCAGAAAGAATAAGGCTGGGCTCTTATTTGGTCCTCTTCTGAAAGGGACCGTTTAGTTCCACCAGATGAGTCCTTGAGGGCAGAAGACCACATCTTCTGTATGCTGGATATGAGTACAGTACTAGATATTTAAAGATGTTTCTATGCCTTGGGCTTTCCCTAAAGGATTTGACATCCTCACCAAAAATGGAGATTAAGAGCTGGTTCATGTGACAGATGACGTACATACAGGGAAAATAAGACAGGTGATCAATAAACACTGTTGTTACTGTCATTGCTGGCAGAAGGTATCAGTGCAAGTGAGAAGCAGGTTCTTGGTCCTACTGTTCCACTTTCCGTCTCAAGAAAGCTTATCCATGTGCACAAGTGAGTCACAGTGGTATAGATGAGAGTGATGATGAGTCTACACTAACTTAATCACTTGCAAAATTCAGAAATACTTTATGCAAATACCTCCACAGCAGATCAGGATGTATCTCGACTTACTGCAACACCATGTTTAAGAACTGTGGTTCTCAGTGTGACACAGAACAAAGACTCATAGCCCCAGCCTTCTAGGAACTTCACTGTCATAAATTAGACTGCTCATTAATTCAACGTATCAGTTAACTGTTATCACACGACACCTTGTCCCAAAACTTAATGGCTTGAAACAGTAAGCCTTCATTGGTGTTCACTAGTCTACGGGTAAGTTGGGTGGTTCTTTTGGTGTTAGTTGGGTTTACTACTGATGCTGGGGGGTGTTCAGGCTGCTGGTCTCAGCTAGGCTTTCTCATGTATTTGAAGGGTAGGCTGACTGGATCTGGTCTAGGATGGCTTCCATGGGGCTCCTTTCCACGTGGTCTGCTGTCCTGTGGCAAGCTAGCCTAGGCCATCTGTTTTGTTCTAAAAAGGAAGTAGAAGCATGCAGTACCTTTGGGAGGCCCAGGTTAGGACCTGGTGTACTGTGACTTATGCATTTTGTCAGCCAAAGCAAGGTGAAGACTAGCCCAGATTAAAAGGGAAAAGATAGAGACTTGTTGATGGGAGTTGCTATTGGGTCTTATTGCAAGGGGAAATGGGATACAGGAAGACTGTTAATTGGGACCATCCATTTCATTACTCTGCCACATCATTTCTTTTATTAATTCATTGTTTTCCGTCATGTGGTTCCTTAAGCAATCCTTCATTCTGTTGTTTCATTCTTTATTAACTAAAGCTTCTTAAAGGCGTGTATCATTTACTGTCCATAGTGTCTGGGAAGGCCACAGAGATGAGTAAGATACCAGTCATTTGTAAGCAAAGGGCCAGGGGAGATGGACAAGTGAGTGGCAAGTAATTAGAGAATTTGAGTAAGCCCAGGGAGGTGTGAGTGCAGCACAGTGGACTGGGAACCCAGAGGAAGGAGCAGCGAACCAACACTGGGTGGAGTGGCTTCACAGAGGAGAAGCCCAGTTACCCAGGAGCAGGAAATGGCTGAGTAAGAAGGCAAGAAGAGAGCACATGTGGCCCCAGGTGGGCAACAAGGCCTGCGTAGCTGCCTCCCGTGTGCAGAGTTTACTGTAGGGGTGGTAGTGGCAGGAGACAAGGCTGGAAAAGTTCACCTGGGCCAGGTGGAAAGGCCTGCTGTGAGAGCTAAGGGGCTCAGACATTTTTGCTGGCTAAGAAGGAAGTTAACAGGATTCTTTCTTTTTCATGTTGGTGACTCATCTACTTTAAGAACAGGCAGTTCAGTTATTGCACCCTAATGCCTTTCCCTTATCAGAATGAGGAAGCCAGGATAGTGTAGCTCTGTGAATTCCAAACTGTTCTCAGGCGCCCTGGAGTGGCACAGCAAAGTCATAAGATTGGCATGGGATATTTTAAAACTTTGAGGAAACACAGAGAGATGTCTATCAGACACCACTTAACCACCGCTACTAAGTTGTTGGGACCTAACTACTCAGTAAATGGAGCTTTTAGGAGTTCTTTTAGGACATCTTGAAAAAATTACAGAATCACTAATGCACAGTAAAGTGGAAGTGTTTGAATTTGGGAACTTCTGGTGAAGTTGTTAGGAATATTGGTTTCAAATCTTGTTCCTGCCTCCTGTTCCTTGGGCAAGAGAGTTACTTTCTCGACCTGTTTCCCCTGTAAAGTGGAGATGGCACTACTCCCTCATTCCGTTGAGTTATTGAGAGGAACAAGCGAATTCATATGAGTAAAGGAATTTAAATGGAGCTTGGCACAGCGTAAACATGAATATTAGCATTATTAAGTAATGCCACAGTACCTGGGCTGTTTCAAGTTCATTATCTTGTGAGGGCAGCAAATGCATGGCACAGGCTCCCTGTTGGGGGAAGGACTGGCAGAGTAGTTCAGGAGGCTCAGAAGGATAAGTAGAACTTTATATTCTGCATGAAATTACAGTGTAATAGTGTTGCACAGCTTTATGCTCTTCTATGGAAAACGAGTTCTTCCCCAGCCTCTCATTTAAGGAGCCTGCATTTCCAAATGTGCCTCTAGTTTCAGAGTAATGTCTTTGGGCATATTCATTTCTTTTCTCTCTTTGCCTTGTATCCCCCACCCCGACCAACTGAAATGACCTGTCTCTGCCAGAAAAGGTTCAGATAAAAGGCACATAAGATGTGTCTCTGCCTTGTTTCCTGCACTAATGGAAACGAGCATGGCTTAATAATAGTTGTTGGGAGGGTGGGGGGCGATGTCTCCCACAAATGCCAGGAAATCTGCTCCACACACCAGGAAGGCTTCAGTCTGTAATTGAGCTGGTTTGTGATAGCTTAGCCAGCCCATTTTTCCCCATCTCCATTTGGTCTCCTCTTCTTTTACCTTAAGGGGGCCTCAGATTACACTGGGTTAGATTTTCTGTCCTTAGTGCATATATGTAGGTGTGTGCAGGCTGCTGCTGTGTTTTGCTTTCTGTAGCAGGGATCGGCCTTCTCCGCTCCTCACCCTCCTCTTCCTTTGCTCCAGTCTGTGTTGCTCAGTCTTGTCCAGGGAACTTCCTTTTTCATCTTCACATATGTTATTGACTGCTTCTCACTCTGCCTTGTAGCAGAGAGTTTAGCTGTGGCCTCATTGCTCATTCTGATGGTGTGCTTTTTGGATTCTGCCAAATGTCTTTTGCATTTGTTTTTCACCTCAGCACTCCATGCTGTCGGCAGTTCAGCAAGCCCTTTCCAAGCTAGTTTTTCCCTATTTTTAATTAGTTTTCTTCTCCTGCTTCTCCACCCCATCCTGCAGTTTTTTGTGGATAACAGTTAAGAGCCCCACTCTTTCTTGGGTGATTTTAAGAAAATGTGGGTGTTGACAAAAAGGGTCAAACTCTGTAAAATATTTGAAGAGATTTATCTGAGCTAAATATGAGTGATCATGGCCCATGACACAGCCCTCAGGAGGTTCTGAGAACATGTGCCCAAGGTGGTTGGGTACAGCTTGGTTTTATATACTTTAGGAAGGTGTGAGACATCAATCAAATACGTTGAAGAAATGCATTGGCTTGGCTCAGAAAGGTGAGACAACTCAAAGCAGGGGCTTCCCGGCTATAGGTAAATGTAAACATTTTTGGATTGATAATTGAGTTTATCTGAAGACCTGGAATTAATGGGAAGGAATGTTCAGGTTAAGGTAAAGAAGTGTGGAAACCAAATTTTCTTGTGCAGAAGAATCTCTCGGATAGCAGACTTCAGAGAGAGAGCAGGTTGTAAAATGTTTCTTAACAGACCTAAAAGGGTGCCTGGCTCTTAACTGATTATTTCCTGGATATCTCCTGGGAAGGAAGGAAGGAAGGAAAACAAAGGGGAAAGGGGATTCTCTATAGAATGTGGGGTTTTCCCACAAGAAACTTTGCAGGATAATTTCAAGAAATGGCAAGGAAATATATTTTGGGGTAAAACATTTTGATTTTCTTCCTTGTTATGCCAGAATCAGATTGGAAAGTCAGTCACTATATACAGGGACAAATAAAAATCATCTGATGAGAATTTATGGTTTGTAGGACATGTCTCCCCAGACCTCTTAGATAGGAATTTGGGCAAGATAAAAAATCTGAGCTTAGTGCCCAGTCCCCGCTCTTGGCCAAAAATCATTCTACAGAAGGCATATGCAGGCCAACAGCAGCAGGTCCCATGGTGCTAGGAACGCTCATTCCTAGAGTTGTCTGATCTGGTGATTTGGCGAGGTCCCATGATACTAGGAAGGCTTATTCCTAGAGTCCTCTGATTTGATGGTAATGGTTTTAAATATTAGCGATTTGGGTAATGGGGAGAGGACATGGTCTGACCTGATGTAATAGCCAATTCTTTAAGAGGTGAGATAGAGTCAGGCCTAGGGTTTAGTCTAAGAAAATCCTGGGTCAGATCTATTTTCTGAGCTATCATGATTCAGGTCTTTAATTGTGCCTTTCCTTCTACTGTATCTGGCATAACATTCACAAGGAAGGTCTAATGTTAATACAGTAACAAATATCATAAAGATAGTGAAGATTTGGACGTCCAAGGCTATAGGAAGAATCTAGGTAAACAACCTAGTCAGCCAGAAAAAAAACCCTGCATGCATGATTATATTCTTTGATCAGATTTACAATGTGTTTACCACTCCTTGTTGAGGGTTATTTGAACCCTATAATATATCTTATTTTGAAAATTGTGGGACCAACTTTTAATTCAAATTTAATAAATTTAATTTCTTTTCCAGCCAATTTATCTCCATAGGTATAGCATCCTGAGAGAGGGTATAGATTAAATGCAAGAAATGCCTGGTCCTTGGTGTTTAAACTGTTACAGACTTGTTAATAGTAACCACTTTTGTATTGCACCATATACTAGTATTTGGGAGAGAAAAGGTTTTGTCACAGAAGTTGCATAATTCTGCAGTGTTATTTTGTCCTTGGTGGGACTCTCTATGGCTGAAGGCTTTAAGAATCAAAACACTTACAGCCAATAAATTGTTCTAGGCCATATTGGAATGGCTGTGGACAGGCATTCATTACTTCTTAAAATTATTAACTAAAAGAACCTAACAGTAATACCAAAAGGCAAAGTTATAAGACTCGCTTATTTTTAACTTTTGGTTTCTGTTATAGACTTATAGCAATTAGCTATACAAAATGTAAACATTGTTTTGAAAAATAATTAAAAATATGTGTGTGTGTGTGTGTGTGTATGTATATATATATATATCTTCACAACTTATAATTGGGAGTATTATACCCAAGAGGCTTTGTTACAGAGTATTTTATCCTGTTAGTAAATATTTTCCCTTAATTTTATAGTAAGCAGAAAATTTTCATGGCTGGGAGGATGCAAAAGTGACATAAATAGTTTAGAAGGCAACTGAACTTGTTTTACCAGCTGTTTAGGCATTTTTTGTACCCTCTTCTTGATTTGGAGGGTTTGATGTTGTCCTAATTTTATTCCTCACACAGGCCCTTACAGTCTTACGTGCCCGTCTCTTCTGTGTTAGTCCCTGGGCCTAGAGCGGGGCAGCTCGTAAAGTTTTAGCAGCAGAGCATTAGCAGTAAAACAGATCCGGTGCCAGTGGGATGCCAAATGAGGGAGATTCTTATCTCTGGTCTTCAGAATACCTTGATTTTTGTTTCCTTGAAAGTAAAACAAAAATAAATAACATATTTTGACAGTTACAAGAATAATTCATATGTTAGAACAGAAAAAGGAACCTATTCCATTAGGGCACTAATTAAAAACGTAAAGAAAAGTTATAATCTGATAATTTCTAAAGGATTATTGTAGCCAAGAAATAATGCTTTAATTTGCACTCAAAAAGTTAGGGCTGAAATCGAGTATTAAGTGTTGTGTTGTACCCTTGAAACAGTTTTTTTAGCTGCCTTTTTTATTAAAGAATATTATAGCCAGGCCAATTTGTGTGCAAGGTTAGTTTTAGGCATATTATGCTTATCTGATTATTTGCATAAAATGTGAGAAATTTCTTGACTGATCATATAGACTCACTCCTTTTAAACTTGGCTTTGCTGAAACTTTACCTTAAAATAGGCTATTTCAGTTTCAGTCTTGGTAAAATAACCAGTGTCTCCAATTGTTTAAAAAACTGTTACTGAACTGATGCAGACAACTATATTGTCATAAAATTACAATCTGAATTTTGGAGAACTCAGAAAGGTAAATCTGCTTACAAAACATACTTGACCAAAATAACGTAAAAGAAAAAGATTTTTTTGACCCTTCTTTAACCAGAGCAGCAGCTTTTAAAACAAGGTATTTGTTTACCTTGGAAATGGCATTTGCAAACCAAACATGGGCTTGAGCAATGCTGGTCATGGCATTTATTTATTGTTCCCAAGATTGTGGCTTTGTCTTGAAATTTTGGGTTTTATTCATCTGTCATCTTGCTCAGTGATAGATAAAATATGGGTCCTATTTGCAGGATTTTCACGATCTGTGGGAAGTTTTCAGAGCGGAACTTGGTTATCTACACTAAGTATTAGTTGGAAAGGATTTGTATAAAGTGCTACGAATGAGTGATAAACTGTGTCTTTAAAGTATGTCTTCTGGAAGACAGGCAGCTTCCTTTTATAAATGAGATTGGGATACAGTCGATGAAACACCTAAAATATTAACCTTTAGCATCTGAATTTTGAGGGAGAAGAGTGTTCATAGCTTTTATTGTAAACACTGTGGCCCCAAATATTAGGATGTCCTGCCTGGGTTATTTAGAAAGCCTTGAGAGATTTGAAATGATAACAAGTGATCTGAAAGAAAAGGATAGAGGCTGCAGGAACACACAGACATGTTTCTTATAAGAATAAAGCCTAAGCACCTGGAGTTATATTAGTCTAGGTCTCCAAAACTATGACATCCAAAAAAATCTATGGTAAAGAGTTTTCTGCCTGTATCATTTCTTACCTCTTAGGATTGATTGCTGATCAACTTTTAGATGCTGAGTGGAATAAAGGCAGTGATCATTGGATGCCTTAGGAATTTCCAATCTAGACCAGGTATGGCGGCTCATACCTGTAATCCCAGCACTTTGGGAGACCAAGGTGGAAGGATCACTTAAGACCAGCCAGGGCAACATGGGGAAACCCCATCTCTACAAAAAGAAAATAACAAAAATTAGCCAGGTATGGTGTTACGCACTGATAGTCCCAGCTACTTGGGAGGCTGAGGTAGGAGGATTGCTTGAGCCTGGGAGGCAGAGGCTGCAGTGAGCTATGATCTTACTGCACGCCAGCCTGGTGACAGAGTCCCTGTCTCAAAAAAAAAAAAAAAAAAAAAAGGGGAGGGGGGCCACAATTTCCAATCTAAAGTCACCACATCAGGCTCTGTCCTCTGTGACGAGCTCTGCTAACTCAAGGAATGTGGTGTCTGCTGCAAGGAATAAAGGTAGTTATGGGTTCCCACTGGTGCTCCTAGATCCTTTGTTTTCAAGGGTGGCCCACAAACTGGCAGTTTCAGCAACACCTGGCAGTCTCCTTAGACCTGCTGATTCAGAATCTGAATGACCGCATCCCCGGGTGAGTCACACAACAGTGATGTTCAAGGAGCAGTTGTAGGCTCAGCCTGTTTCATGGGCAGCAGTGGCCACATCTCAGAGGCACTGTGTTGTAGGCATGGCCTTGCTGTATTTTAGTTTAGGTTCTGATTTCCTATCATTTTTATGACAAATTCTAATACAAAGTGATCTAGATATATATCTATATGTCACTGCTTCTACGTTTGAGGGGTTTGGTCCGGGGAGAAGAATATGTAAAGGGAAAATTTTATCTTAAGCTGTATTTTGTGATAACATAAGGGACCAGAGAGAAGAGCTTGTAGTTCTTTATCCCACCGCTTGGGTGTTTCACTAGCAGTATACTTGGATAGGTGGCCAACTTTATATGATAAGACATTTTTAGAGCTTTACCACACTTTTGACCTCCTTTGGGAACTGTCCTGATTCCTTTTTAAACCAAATGATAGCACCTTTTGTGTTTTGAATAGCCTAAACAGTCATTTGTTTAGTTACCACCTGCTGGTGTGTAGCCTTAGGGAGGCGTGTTTACAGTTGCGTGGTTGTTCTGCTCCTCCTTGACTATGGATTCCTGCTTTCCATTAAATGGAATGACTACTGTCTCTTTTTTTTTCTTTGAACTCTAATGGAAGGCATGTTATCTTTACATTTAAAGCTTTTTCTTCCAGATTGCCTAGTTAATCCATGGTCACTAATCCTTGTAGTAAAATTAACCCTACTTGAAGATTTAGCAGGTGGATTTTGGCTCTCTTAATGCAAGATTTCTCAAGAATTTTGCAGAAGAGAGATGCAATAACCATATCACATACGTACTTTTTGTCCATAAGTATGGAACGAAGACTGTCTGGGAAACCACTATCTTTTGCAATCAGCCTATTGCCTTTTCTTAAAAACTAGAAGCTCTTTTTCTTTCTATTTACTTGCTTTTCCTGTATTATTTTTCTGTATTTCCTTTTTCTATATTCTTTTTCTGTATTTCTACTTGCTTTTACATACTCCTTTGCTTTGGTGTCACATAAACTTGTAATGAAGTCCTATAATTACTTACTGGCTAGATGGGTTTTGGAAGTCCATTCTCTGAACCACACATGTAAAGTAGGAAGCAAATATTTCCAGATGATGTTAAGAATGAAATGAACTAGTGTATACAGAGGGTCTGGTAGAGTTAATGCAGTCATTTATTTGATTTGAGCCCCCAGCATCTAGCAGGCACAGGTCCTGGGAACTGTATGCTAGACAGTGTGTTGTAATATGCTTACAGATAAAAATGGACATGACCTGCCCTCATGGGGTTTATGGTTTTTTAGTGTATGACCAAAATGCCAGCAGGGGCTGGGCAGGTTACACAGATATGTAAAGCAGCCTGCATGGGTTCTGTGGCAAATTGAAAAGCCATGCCCCAATTCTCCATTCCTGCCAAAGTCTTCTCAGAGGAAAATGGTTCGGTGGTATCAGATATTCCTGTTTTTTTAAGGAGAGTCCAGAAAGTCAGATTTTTATGAGAAATCTCCATTTTTAAAATGTTGGTAACTAATAAACTGTCTAACCTCTGACTTCTCATTTAGCATCAAATGCCAAGGGTATATCCCTATCAACTAATGTAACTTTGATGATGTGTTCTCTCTGGCCCATCAGTGATAACACAAAGAATGGCTCCCAATCTGCCATCCCATGCTCTTACTGATAGGAGACATTCCTGGGCTCTGTATTTCAGGGCTTTGCCTCTTCTGTCCTTGTGAATCATGGACTGCAACAGTGAGAAACTTGATCCTGGGGTGGCCCCTTGTATGTGGGAAAACATATTTTAAAAGGTCCATACTGGATTGAGCTCTGGACATGGTCTTCTTACTACTCTGGCTTAGTTGCTCCTTCCTCTTGAGGCCAAAGATTTGAACGTGCAGTGGTAAGCTTCAGAGACTAGCTATTCCTGGCAGGTAGGACCTGACTTTTTACTTTTTCACTGTAGGATTTAGCTTGTATGAACACTAAAATACTGAGCTACAAATCATTGCCTAAAACAAATAAAAGTAATGCCTTTCAAACCTCTTTGTCAGTATGGGTATACGCTGTATTCTGGAAAAGGTAAACTCTTAACACATATCTACTTAGCTTTGAATTGCATTGTCCATTCCTGGGTGTGAACTTGAGAGGGGAAGCTTTCTCAAGAAGGGAAGGCTCTTGGTTTACTGTAGGATCCTCTTCAGCTGTGATTTTCTTAGCATCTTCTATGTCCTAAAAAGGTTCTGATTCATGGCAGGTAAGAACCATTGTATTTTTCAAACTGTCCATGAGCTTTGGAGTGGCAGCTGATGGTGTTAATAAGATGGTTTTGGCAATGGCTCTGGGGCAGAACAGGCGGGAATGAGCCACATTATTTTACCTAGGTAGGGCTGGTTGGCAAGGTTTTCACTCATCTGCCAGCCAGTAGGTGGACAAAATGCAGCCTGGTTTAAATACTTGAGGCAGTGAAGAATTGGACCCAGAAAATAACAGACTCAAGGAGATGATTTCCATGTGAGAATTTAGCACAAAATCGGATGAATTTTTACAGAAGGAGCAATCTTTTTGATAAAAGACGAAAGACTGGGATCCTCTTAGTCATTGTTTTAAGGCATAGTTCCAGAAGGCCACAACATTT